AACTGTGGCTGTTAAAAAACAACAAAACATTAGTATCTACCACATATGCATAACCTTCAGATAAAAAAGAGAGATAAACATCACAAAGTATGCCTCACACTTTTTCAGATATATTTTGATTCAGATGTTGATTATTGATAATAAATCTACAAATCAAACCTGTATCATCATTAGGCTGCTCAAATATGAATCAGTTGATTAATTTTACAGACAGGTGGCTGTTTACAACGCACTAAATTGTCTTTAATAAAACGGAAATGTTGTGTACAGTACATGCTAAGTTTAGCCTAGTTTTAAGCACAATATCATGCGGGAGAAAAAGCTTGACTAAGATGTTCCTGACTACAGAAATAGCCTAACTTACTAACGTCAGACATCCCGAGTTGGGAGAAGTCATTTTCGGGAGATACAGAGTTGATTTGCGGGAGGTAGCGGGAGAGATGAGTACCTGAAGAGCGGTGGGGTGACTTGCGCGCGACGTACCTAAAGAGCGGTGGGGGTGACTTGCGCGCGACGTACCTGAAGAGCTGGGAGGGATGCGGTGGAGAGGGGTGTGCAAAGTGTTTAATGACCGGGCGGGAGACGCGCGATTTCCGGGAGATTATCATTCATTTGCGGGCATCTACTTAGGCATCTGGGAGTCTCTGTGCATTTGCGGGATAACGTTAACGTTAGTCCCGCAACTTCCGGGAGACTTCTGTAACGTCAAATGTCTGATAAAGTGCAAACGCGGTCATTTAAAGACATTAATGTTAACATTCCGACTTTAATGGTTGTCAACGCTTAATATAATTCAAGCGTACGTTATCACGCGAGTCTATGGACTAAAGGCTGATTTATACTTCTGCGTCAAACACCGGCGTATGCTACGGCGCTGACGCATAGCCCATCGCCGTGGCCGTCGCCGTCACTGACGTGCACCTCTCAAAAATTGTAACTACACGTCGCAACAACGCGTAGCGCAAGCTCTGTGATTGGTCGGCTTGCTAGCGCCGACGAGTCTGGGCGGGACCGAGAGCCGCGCGAATGGCGCGAGCGATTGTTTACAAGTGTGGAGTCCCGTGAAGGAGCTCCGGATGGAAAGTTTTGTTCTTTGTTTACCTCATGGTTAAAGTTGTTGCACGTCCGCCGGTTCCTGCCTCAAAATGAGCGAGTTTGAGTCACTTGTACATCCAGGAAGTGTTCAGAATAGCAAAACAGAAGCGAAGAAACTCGACACAGAGGAACATTTACACCTCACTGCCCACTAGCGTTTCGGAAGTGTTAATGCAGACCAACGGAGACAGCGCGCAGAAGTATAAATGCCCAGCCACGCGCGTTGCCTGCGCCGTGAGTTACGCCGGTCACTTGACGCAGAAGTATAAACCAGGCTTAACGGTATATGGACGGCCACGAATGAACCAGTTTAAAAGGGCTGCGGTGTTTAAAATAACCAAATTAACATACACGGATAACAAACAATCATATGTTTTAGTCAGGAAGCCTTTTACAAGTAAGCATATGTTCATTTACTCACCAGATATGTTTTAGAAACTCTCCAGAGCTTATGGAAACCGTCCTGTGTTGCCGTTAGCATCCGGGCAGAGTAGGCTAGGCTGCTCCGGGGATTCCCTCGCTAGTTTGCTTCGAATTAAAGGAGAAGTGTCGATTTTATTTTACAGATGGGTAACGCACAAAATGGCATTAAGCGTGACAGAAATGTGTTGAACATGTACATTTGATGTTTTTATGCACTATGTATGCGTGAGCATATATAAAAACATTCTTGAAAAGAAGTCGATAGTAATGCAGTTAAGCTAGATACACAAACGACCATGAATGAACTGCAGAAGATTAAAATTGTCACTACATTCTAAAGTTATTAACTTAACAATATGTTTACAACTGTATTTCCTTAAAAAAAGTCAGTAAAATACCAACATTTAGGTAGTTTGACTCACCAGTTGCTGTTCTAAACTTCAGATGGAAAATGGCGTCTGGAAAATTCTTCAGTGACTGGGGCTGCATGAATTCCCGGATGTTGGAAATAACACCACCAAGTGTAAAAAAGATAACTCCTTGATTTCGCACTGAATAAAATCAATTCTAACTCTTATTATATTCATTTATCAAAATCTAACTCTTTAACGTCAACACTTTACTCTGAAATGCTTCAACACCGAGAATTTAACTCAGATGAATTTGCTGTGTATATATATATATATATATATATATATATATATATATATATCTTATTTATACTTTTATAAATATATAAGATTAATTATAGTTAAAAAGTCAACAATGTGCATATCACACATGAAATATGTGGATGTATAATTTCAGAATTTGTATTGTTTACTTTATTTTACACATATTTAAATGTCATTCTGTGTTCTTGTGTTGATATGTATATATGTACTATATGTATCCTGAGGTCCTAAATAAAACATACTAAAAAAAAAAAAATTCCTTGTGTGTGCCTACACTTGGCGAATAAAGCTCATTCTGGTTCTGATTATTGACCTGTTGTTTATTTTTTACAATAGAAGGAAAACATATTTTACCTACAGAGAAATAACAGGGTGCAATTTAATAATGATACTCAATGATAATTTAATCTGTAATAATATTAATAATAATAATAATTTAATTTATTTTAATAAACAACGTGCATATTTTGGGAGAGACAGCACCAAAATAGGCGCAAAAAAATGGTCTACGCGCTACGTTGAACTTTAACATAAGTGACGCAATTGACGCATGCGCACAGCAATACATTTCACAGGAGCGCGCGTTTTAAACGCAAGCGGGGATCGCAGCCGTTCATACAGATTCCTGGCCGTTGGATGATCATAACATAGGTAGGAAAATATGATATGAAAACATTACAAAACCAGTGCTCGAAGTGGGACTATACACACCGATAACATTGTACTGTCACCTGTATTTCAAGCCTATCCTTACTTTTTTCTGTTGTACTGGCACTTCCGACGTGTTCTCAGGCGCCCGCCCAATTTTCCCGCCCCTTACGTCAATCATTGGGGATTACAGCTTCCAGCACTGGACTAAATTAAAATAAGCTTTTGCAGTTATTTGCTTAATTTTCTATTTAATTATAAGGTGTAATTGCTGCACTTAGTGACATTTAAAGCACTATTTTGAGCTGGATTAGCTTGTCGGATGATCAACTTAACCACACTTTTGGTGTACCGAAAATATTTCCTAAAGATTTAGAATGAAAAAATATGAAGGAAAATAAAGACTTATTTTTAAAATACATATTTAGTACATCATGTGTCATTACTAAAAATAAAACCTGTTAAAGTTTCAAATTAAAAACTAGTCATTTGTCATCTTTTATAATTTATTAGGCAAATAAACTGAGCCGCACATGACATTTTCGTCATATACATGTACAATTAAAAGATAATAATAATGTAGAGCTTGACCACTTTTCTAGCCTCTCTTGTAAAAGTAAAGGCTAATAAATTTGAAAAATCATGGATGATAAAAATAGGCAAATTGTTATAATAATACACTTCAATACGGTCCGCTTTGGTGCTTCCCTGTTTTTTATTGGTCATATTTTTCTGTCAAGAATAAGGTCCAAGATTTAGAATAAAAGTTCCTTGTAAAATGTTTTCTTTTATTAACAACAATACAGGTCAGTGATAGAAGACTTTACTTACATCAGATTCTGCTTGATCTTAAAGCCTTTGATGGGTAAATTTCATGATTCATAATGGCTTAGCAGTCAAAATAGGACAAATGAGTTCTGGACTTTTGTCAATGGTGGATGGGTCTTTCGAACCACTCAAGCGCCCCCTGGCTACAAGCCTGAAATAATTATCATATTTTGACCCAAATTTCATTGGTTTCTGTAAAAAATCAACAGAAACTTCTATAGAAGCAGTGACCGAAGTGGAAGAGATGGTGATGATGAATTTAAATAAGGTAAGACAAACTAAATATTCTTATTAGATGAAAACGCATCAAATATCTGGTAAACTTCAGTAGGCCTGGTTAATTTTTGTGTTCTGTGCTCCAGTATGTTAACAATTATGCCATCTTTATGAAAATTAAATGGTTTTATTACAAAAGAAGGTTTTGGTACAGGCTAGTAAACAATCCTTTCTTTGCTATTTCATCCATGTAATTTGAAGGAACGTTGTGTTTTCACAAAATTGCTTGCCACAAACTAAATCAACATATAAATAAGCTTCAAAATCTGTCGCACTATGCCAATATTATTAGAATATAAACAACACTTGAAGTACAGTCCATTGAACGAGCTGCATAGCTAATGGCAAAGAAATACAAAACTATTTATTTAAAGATGTTTATCTGATGACAACCCTCCAAGGACTTCAAGGACAACACAAAATATTAAGCAATACACAAATGCACTTAATTAAAAATGTATTATACACATATCAACATCAACATTGAGAAAAGGACACCATATACTGTTTAACTGCAGGTTAACTAAGTGTTCAAACGTGAAGAATATTTAACACTCGTCTGACACGTCTTTCAATTTACTAGAACGTCTTTGTTAAGCTGCTTTGACACAATCTACTTTGTAATAGCGCTATAGAAATAAACATATTGATACTATTGACCGTAATCTTCAATTCAATTAATAAGTAGTATGAATGAAATTTACACATACGACATTGGTAATGTTTCCATTATCACATGACCTACCTGCTTCAGATCCCTTACTTCACTCCCATTCATCTTCATTGAATGTGCACTTCAAAATCTCGCCAGTAGACCCAGTTTTAATGGCTCATTTAGGTGGTACTTGTCTACTGTTTTTTTTAATACTATGAATTTAGATGTATGACTTGGCACTTTTACACACTGTATTTAACTGTTGATGGTATACTGTTTGGCAGTATCTTGTTGTATTTTGCACTGTCTGTAGCCAGCACCTACGCTTTTCACTCATCATAGCACACTTGCTGCTGATGATGTGACGATAAGAGTGATTTGATAATGGAAGTCATGCTTACACGCAATGTTTGGAGCCTCAGAATGATTCCTGCTGACGTGGTTGTTGGCGTGGCACTGGATCCCTCTGTCCGCTGCAGTGACATTGATGCTAATGGAGGACAGGGAGGACTGTGTCTCCACACAGTGACTCTTTTGGCAGTCATACGTGGCCCAGCTGCCGTCCACTGAGCAGTTCACTGTGGCCAGACACTCTCCGGTGGACGAATTAAAGTCATGCACCTTGATTACAGGCTCGGAGATGGTGTCTGGGAAAAGACCACAGATGAGTTATAAAAATCAACATCAGAGCACACTGCAAGAAATATCCATCAATAAACCGATTTCTGTATTTTGTGATTTATAGGTTTTTCAATTTTAGGCTTTTAGCATTAGCATTTTTAGAAAATTGATCTCTCTTCCAACAACTTGGTGTTGAAAAAGTGACTTCTATTGACCTTTGAAGCTTCTATTGACCTTCTATTGACCTTTATTGATCTTAAAGTATTAAAAGTTGTTAAATCAATTATGTATGAGAAAATTAAGGCCCTTAAAAGGTGTTAAAAAGTTTTAATCGCGTTTTTACGAGGTTTTAAATTTTGTTCAAGCGCTGTCCAATGAGTTTGACTTAAAAAAACCTTAAATATATTTATTTTTCTCTTAATATTGACAACCGCGTGTTGATTGGTTCAGGTCGGGCGTGTCTGGCCATGCTCCTCAGTCTGGGAAGGTAATGTGACGCTCTCCACATGTAGCGAAACCAATGTGAAAATGTCCTGGTTGGAGAAAGATGAGTTTAAACAGTGGCTGAAGCCTGTGGCTAAAAACAACCACATAATCTATTCTTTCAAGCTTTGTTTCTTCCGAGCTTATCTTAGTTCTGTTGCAGGGTTGTGCTCTATTGATTTATTTAACTACAACTGTTTATTAACAACTGTTAAGGGTTTGATCCTGATTGGAACTTGAAGTGACGATGAGGTTTTAAAGTATTTATATAACATCTTTAAAAAGTCTTAAAAAAGTATTGAAATTACTTTTAGGATTCCTACATATACCCTGTCATAGCTTAAAGTAATATTGCTTGGACTAATGTAAATTATGGTACAAAATCATGTAATAAATTACCAGTATACACGCACAAAATACGCGTGTTACTTATTTAAAATGAGCGAAAGCAACACGAAATTTTCTTTTTGGACAACTTAATTTTTTATGTTCATTTCATTTTCTTTCGGCCTAAGGCTTATTTATATTTCTGCGTCGAGTGTTCGGCGTGACCTATGGTGCCTGTCTTCTGTGTTGCCGTGCATTTATACTTCCGCATGCTGTTTGTGTTGCTCTGCAATAACTCTTCAGAAACACTAGCTGGCGGTAGGTTTCTATGCTCCTCTGTGTCGAGATTTTTGCCAGGTATTTTGTTTTTTCTAAATGTTACAAGTAGCTAAAACTCGCTCATTCAGAGGTGGGAACTGGCGATTGTGCAACAACTATAATCATAAGGTAAACACAAAACAATATTTTCCATCTGGAGCTCCTTCACGCGATTCGACGCTAGTAAACAATCACTCTATTGGGCTCATGGCTCTCAGTACCGCCCACACTCTTCACCGCTACCAAGCCGACCAATCACAGAGCTTGCGCTATGTGTTGATGCGATGTGTAGTTAAATTTTTTAAGAGGTGCGCATCAACATCGGCATAAGCCACGGCAAGGGTTATGCGACCATGTGCAGGCTGTGCTGGAGCATACGTGTTCGCTTGACGCAGAAGTTTCTGAGGTTGCCACAGCGGAATGAACCATCAACTATTTTAGCATATGTTTTCACAGCTGATGCAAACTCCACACAGAAATGCCAACTGGCCCAGCCAGGACTCGAACCAGCGACCTTCTTGCTGTGAGGTGACAGTGCTAACCACAGAGCCACCGCGATTATGCTTAATCCACTTAAATTTGTAAATACTAATAAGCTAACTTAATTCCTTCATGTTGTCCAAACAGAAATTGATTATGTGGAAAAAACACATGTTATGTGTTTTTTTTGAGTGTACTGTTTATTTCAAAGTCTGCATGATATCAAAATGTACAATATTTATTTTAGTAGCTCACATTATTATTCTTAAAGTGAATAATTAATCTGTGCAAGTTAATCCACTTAATCCACTAGTTAATCTTCAATCTAAATCTAACCAACTGCTCCTGCCTTTGGTAACTCTGTTGATGTTAACCTGAGGCAACCATAGCAACTGCATATTAATATTCTTAACCACACCCTTCTTACAGTTAGTTTGCTATGAGGGAATGATGCGCAAAAGAAAGCCCCGCCCCTACTCAATATTCTGTTTCAGTTGGACGTACATCAACATACTGAAATACGTCTCAGCAACTTTCGGTTCATATGGACTTAAAAACTTAATTAATTATAGACCTTTTTCTTGGCTGCTGGATGGAGGGCGCCATAGCGACAGCGTCTTCCGGTGGAATGGTTAAAACTTTCATTTACAGCGTTTATGATTTTTGATTTGGTAATTTGCGATCCGAAAATGGGTTTCAATAACGTCTTAATGGATTACAGAGTGTTTTTGTGACACACAACTTAGAATGGTGTATGTTAAAGCCGTTATAATCTGTCAGATGTGGTTTAAGCGCGATGGAAAAACGTTCTCCAAGTTCACGTGTCTTCTGTCAGAAATACAGTGTGTGTGTTTCCCTGGCCTGTCAGCTGTTAGCTCAGTGGTTCTTCAACACACGCACTCGCGTCACTGCATTATAGAGCAAACCAGATAGCTGGCAGGAAACTTAACAGGTATGAAAGTCGTGCAATTTACAAAAATGACCAATAAAAGTCTGTTACTGATACTCTGCTGCTGATGTGCTGTTCATTCTAATCTCAAGCAGTTATGTTTCATTTAGTGTGTCGTATTGACAACGGTTTGTGTTTTTCTGTCATTTCAAAATGTTATTAAATCAGTGTGTCAGTGGGACAGTACAGGCTACGTGTTTGTGTGTCAAACATTTTGGTGAACTACATTTGTTTGGGCTGGTTATATATTTTTAAAAAAAGAGAGAAACTGTTGACTTAAGCGATGACAAGGCTCGGATGATGAGGCATTAGATGCCGTCTGTCAACGAGGGGAAAATGCCTCACAGCAGCTGTTTTCCATCCTATTAGATCGCATTTTTAATGATCAGTCCAGGAGATGGTGCTGATCGACAAGAGTAGTAGTTTAAAGAATATAAAAGCAAATAAAATAGATTAAAACTATCATTTGAAAGCTGTCCAAATGTGACTGTTAATACGCATCAGCTGCCGACCGGAAGTTCTTAGCTTTTTCCTTGCGCATACACGCAAAGCATAATGGGTAATTTTGAGTTCTAAGAAAAAGTCTATATTGTAATTATTATATGTTTTTTCAACTTTAAACAGTTGATTTTCTACATCAAATGTTGACAGACCAGAGATAAAGTTCCTATAAAGCAATTCATAACCGTAAACAAACTATCACAAAATACAGACGCTGATAATTAATGGATATAGTTTACAGTGCTCATTAACTTAAGTTTATATCAGAAATGTACGTGAAGATTTATAGATGAACTGATCTTACTCTCCACTATTATTGTGTATGCAGCCACGGTGTCTCTTTCCCAGTTCTGAAGGGCCTCGTATAATCCACTGTCGTTTTCATTTAGCTTCTTTATAGTCAGAGACAAATCTGAAGAGTTTAATGTTATCCTGTTGTGCAAATCAGGGGGAACTCCATAAAGGTTTGCGAGTAACTGCTGCCTGTTGAATCGTCGCCATGTGATGTCTGTTTTCTGCAGGGACTGATTCCTGAGACTGATCTTCAGTTGGATTGCTTTTCCACCTAATCCATATAGAATCTCTTGGCATTCGGCTGCAAAATCTGTAAGGAAGATGTTGAGGGAAAAAAACAGGAAATAACTTCATTACTTTTGTCTCTTTCAATTTTTAAATATATGTATTGCTTAGTGATATATGAACTAAACTTCTCTTGAGTGACATGCTTGAATGCTAATTAGCATTTTTCGCAGAAGTAGATGCTGCTGGCTGGAAAGATACAGCGACATCAACTTCCAAAATAACTTCTGACTTAGCATTCCTGTACATTGAAATGTGCTTAAAGGTGTGAAGACAGAATGCCTTATGTAGTAATAATATCAGCTTATGTGCGCAGAGAAGTTGTTAGGAAAGAGGAAGTATGTATAGGTGTGGCTGCCAGAGGACTGGAGAATGATTGACAAGCGCAAATTCCACCAAAACTCCAACGTTTAATATCAGATGTGTGTAAATACTGGAGTTAGGGAAATGCAGGGTGATTGCAGACCTCCTGAATGTTATTCTTGCATTGCATTGGTGTAACATAAGTAGGGCTGGGTATCGAGTTCGATTCTTTATAATCACCGACCGAATCGTCTCGATACTATCGAGTATTGAAAATATCATTTTCGTTCAGTACCAAATTTCGATACTCAAGAGTTTAATCTTGTCAACATCAGTGAGCTAGAAAACCTGCGGCATCCTTAACTTGCCCGGATCAAATGCTGGTGATTGGCTGCAGCGAGGCTGTCTTGAAAATCAATAGTTTACGGCGGTTACGCCCACTCGCTCAGAGCTTGTCAAATGTGAGGCTGTAATGCGTACACTACACTTTAAAGCATTTTTGCACTGTTTGACTGCAAGAAGATCACGCCGGCGCCGTCATCATAATAACATGCCCACCACAAGCGTCGTCCTCCTTGACGGATGAAGATAACTGCGCGATGGCTGGGGCTCCGAAAGGTAAACAGACACAAGCGCAAGCTGACGACCCTTTCCCACCTCCTCCGCCTCAAAATCATTTTAAAGTTGGGCGAACTTCATGATGTAACTTTTGCTTTTTGGCGCTATTAATACACGCACTGCGGATACACAGAGCAACTTTATTCTCTCTTAACACTAGTGCGCGCACACCTTCAACTACACACACACGCACACATCAGAGCCATACCATTACATAAACTGCGTGGGGGTAACTGAACCATTCACTGCTTATACTACGCATATTTTGCAGAGGCTAGTGTGGCACAGATAGCAGAACTCGCCGAACAGATCCGCCACTTTTGACGCTCATAAACAGTCAAAAAGTCCTCGTGCTGCAGGAATTATGAGGTTGCTGAAGGGGCACAGCTGTCGTGCAGTGAGGGGTTTGCATCTTTAATAAACTACGGCAGTTAGCGTTCACTGAACAGTAAGAATGATTAATAAATCCGTATGAAACAGCCCCTAAAAAGTCACGTCTCGCTTTCAGTTTCGGAGTTAGGCGCGTTTTGCACTCACACATAAGTGTACCGTGCCAAAGCCCAAGTAAACCTTGCTCTGGCACACTGATAGTGTGAGTACACCATAAAAGAACGTGTAAACTGGACAAGCAAAAAAGTCTGATATAGGCAACAAATCGATATTGGGCATCCAGACCAGACAGTGTAAACGGGGTTTGTGCGGGGTAAATTTATTAATCTTTTTTTTTGGACCTAACATACGCTGTGTAATGTTATGTACTGTTTCGATGGCTTTCAGTACCTAGCTAAGTTGATACTAAAATGCTTAAAAAGTCCATGTGATATAAGTGGTTCAATCATAATTATATGAAGCTGCAAGAATACTCCTGTGTGCAAAGTAAACAAAAATAACTTTATTCAACGATTTATCTATGGGAGGATCAGAAAGCTCTTGGATTAAATCCAAAATATCTTCATTTGAAGATCATTAATGACAGAATTTAAATTTTTGGCTGAACTAAACCTTCAAGCAGCAGTAAGCCTCACAAATACTTAAAATGGATTGACTTAAAACTGCTTGAACTTTATTAAAACTGTTTGCACTAATATATTGTGTTGACTACACTTTGTTCATTTTGTGCTTTTGTTCCTTTGTTTATTGATCTTGGAGATAAGCCTGCTGTGAAAAGTGTCCCAAACATCCTGAAAAAAATAAAACCAAAGTTTCTCTGAGATTATGAGTTATGTAATCTTGTCAAAATATATTTCTTAAAATAAAAGTATCGAAAAAAGTATCGTTTGGAACCGGTATCGAATTCAGGGTATCGGTATAGAAAATTTTGGAACGATACTCAGCCCTAAACATAAGAGACAGACGTGACCCAGAGCTCTGAATTGAATTATTCATTTAAATATAATCAATTACTAATATTGTTGTCATTAAAAATCCTCCTGTCTTATTGAACACGCATGGAATTGGTTAAATATTCCAACAAAGTGACTAAACTGAAATTCATGTTTGTCTATCATAGTCATAAATGTATATTTAGAGCTACAACCATAGTAAAATAACCACACCACAGAACCACAAGCACATATATGGAGATTAACATCATTTGCTTTTGCATTTGCATTGGCTTTTCTTGTGCGTGCGTGCGTGCATGTGTGTGTGTCTTTGAGAGAAAATGAAACATTTTATGAAAGATACCCAATCAGTTCTATTTTGTCAGCACAAAAGGAATTATATGTGGATCTGTATCTCATACAAACTGTTAAATAGTATCAGAATAGAGCTGAAGATCTGTACCCGACAAGACCTCAAAGGAGGATCTTCACATGCAACAACTTATTTTGCGCCGAAGTTGCTAAAGTTGTGTTTGGACTTTCAGCTAATACAAACTTCAACTCTAAAAACTGGACTTAAGCAGTTTCAGTTTACTAGAACGTCTACGTTAAGCTGCTTTGACACAATTCAATTTGAATTGAATGAATCATGAGGCCGCTCACTTGCACTCAAATGATTATGGCTGTTCTGAACTCCCTTAACGTGTTGCATATTGCAGTAAATAAAAGCTACAAAATGAGTCGTGATAATGAGAAAGTAACTTTTGTTGTGGCGAGATCATTACAAAATTAAGTTATGAACGAGAAAAAATATATTTTAATGCATGATCGCTTATTACTTCTGTAGATAAGAGTCTGCTTTTAGGCCTTTTTAGAGTGTTGAGATGTTACAGAGGACTTATTTTATTTCTTTGTTCCAACTTCCAAGTGATCTATTGACCTTATTTTTCAATGCGGAAGTGCGCTCGTTTTTGCGATTGTTTTAGTGCCTCCGATTCAGTTGCAGATGGGAGAAATGACTAGGAATAATAAATGTCAGAAAACAGTCAAACAACTCGCTCTACAAAGAAGTGTTTGCATGACTATACCGATGAACTAGAATAATATAGTTGAAAATATCAGTTTGCAACAGCAAGCAGCAAAGCGAGCCGTTTTAATGTCTATAAATGATTGGAAAAGAATAAGACCAGAAGTCTCAAGCCAAAAAGATTCAAATGGCTGCGCCATAAGGTAATTGCGTTACTTACTAATACTAATAAATTATGTTAAATAGGGGTGTAACAATTTACCGTGGAACGTTTTATTGCGATGCAAAAATGTCACAATATGCATCGTGGCGTTATGACGATTTCTTATGATATGCAACCGTTTTCTCTTATTAGTTGAGCTGTTTGCACGTCAGCTACGTTCCACCTGCTGTCGCACGTGAGTTCAGATTGCTTGATCTAGCAGGAGCAGTAACGTTAGCAGACCAAGATGAGTGGAGTTGAAATAGGATGGCCCATCCTCTCAAAATCGGCTGTCTGGCAACATTTCGGTTTTACAGTCTTTAGACTCGTCCGCTTTTTGACACGCATACTAGGTCAAACATACCCAAAGTTTTAAAGTCTTCACAGTAATTTACATACTTTGCTCAGCGACATGGATACCTCCTAATGGTGTTGAAAGAGTCACATACTGTATTTATAAGGTACAATTCACCCAAAAATATCATTCTGTCTTCATATAATGATGTATTGGCGGCCGCAAAATCACACATGACGTGAGCTGACTGAGCTGTTGCTACAGAGGGCGGACTACTTAATGATAGACACGCGCGGGCGTCTACTTCAGTGGACAGAACCTGCAAAGGTTGTGAGTAACCGGTAATAAAGTTGTAAATAACATTCAGTTTGTGGCACAGAGTGATCGTTTAGGAGCCGCGTGGGAAGTATGAACAGCACTTAGCAGTGAAAATGGAAACAAAAGCGTTCACATCATTTAAATAATCATATCGCATTTTAGAGTTATGATTACGACAAGCATTAACGATTTTGAGTACAGTGGTACACAATAATGCACGTCAACATGATACACTTGATAGCGCCGACATCAGCGACGCTGAATAAATAGTACACCTGTTTAAACCACTGAAAAGGGCCAAGACTGTCCTGTCTGATGAAAAGACGGTCAGTCTGTCACTCATCGTGCCGAACATGAAGACAGTCATCTATAAAAACTTCTCAGACAGATACACATAAGTTCAGGATTATCTTATAGAACTGCTGACTACTTGGAAATGTAGATTTTTTTTAATTTTTTGCACACACTAAAAAATGCAAGTGACCAAGCAAAGCCTTAAGGTCTGTTAAGTTCAATTGAATAGAAAGCTATTATTATTTGTGCACCTTTACTTAAATTGTTCCTTAATTTAGTCTCTGTCGTTTTATAATATTTTATAAAAAGTTTTAAAATTATTGTATTTTCCAGAGACAGGCCTATTTAATTTATTTTCTTTAAGGTTCAGTTTAAATGAAAGAAGTTGAAACAAAAGAAATACACAAAAAATAATTCACTTGGTAATTTAAAAAACATTTTTTTTTATAAAATTTGCATTTCAGTTTCATTTTCAATTTTTATTCCAAACATCGTGATACATATCGAATCGTGAACAATATATCGTGATACACATTGTATCGTGAGCTGAGTGTATCGTTACACCCCTAATGTTAAAACTTGTATAACTGATAACTGCACATTAATCATGTCAAGTTGTAAATGGGTTCGGGCTTTTAATAAGTTGACAATTAAAATGTACTTTTAAGCCTGTCAAGCTTTAACCTTAAACTTTTACCTGATTCATCAAGAAAAAAAAGTTCGATTGCATTTCTTGACTCCTAATGTCGCTAGTTAACACACCCAATGCCTTTTTTTTTTTTCAACACATCCCATAATTTCTAAAATATCAACTACCACCAAATTGTATACAAGTCGGTTTATGGTAAAAGTACCGGAATTATTACAAATACTATAAAAAATCGGAAAATATGAAGTGTAACAACAATTTATTTACAAAAATTATCAAAATGAAACATTTTTGAATACTATATCGTCTTTATTTTTGAAGTATGCCATAACATATTTCAGATTCTCCTTTGACATGCTTTGTTGTTTGCTTGTTTTTTACAATAAAACCAAAATCAAGTGTAGCAGTGCAACAGGATTATTTGTAAACCAACAATGCTGTGTGTGAACTCTTAATTAAAACAATCATTCTTTAAAATAGTCAAAGCATGATCAACCGATTGGTAGAGCGGACAGAGTTAAAGGCCCTTCGGAAGACTTGTAACGTTGTGCACTATACAAAGTTTAGAGGGGAACTTTGATGTTGCATGCTTTTAATAAAAGAACAATTAAAAGGGAAAAAAATACAAATATCTTCTTTTTTGTTTGTGCTTTACATCAGAAAGCATGTCAAAAGGGTTTTAATCGACACAAAAAAGCAATTTGTGTGAAATAATCTGTCAATACTTGTGATGCAAAACCTGTAAGTGAATGTATAGAGCTGGTAAATCCTTTATATAACAGATACTCACTTAAACTGAAGCAGAAGAAGGACCACAGAATGAGTTTCATAGTTGTCAGCGATACTTTGAAGACTGAAAATATAAAATTTCCTGTTGAGATTTCCTGTTTAACACCTGCACGCCGGAAACCAGCAAGAAACAGAAGTTATGTCAGTATAGAAGTTTATTCAAAACTAGGCTACAGATCATCAGTCCGAGGCACTCAAAAAGAAGTGAAAATAGTTTAAAATGTGGCCGGTGTATTGAAATCAGCACAGTTTTACCACACTGAAACAAAATATTCAAAGGTGATTCCTTGGATTTACTCAATTTTCTTTAACGTTAAGTGGTTGTAAACTATTTATTTGTGTTGAATTTAAATAAACAAATTAAGTTGAATATTATTAAACTTAATTTGTTTGTTTAAATTCAACAAAAATAAATTGTTTGCAACAGTTCTGCATGCAACACTTTTTTTAGTGCATCATGGTGTCACCCTGATCAAGGTGCAATGCGTAGGTGCTGTATTTAAAATAATAGCCATGTGAATAAAGGCTTTTCAATTTTTTTTTTTTGACTACTTTAAGTGCCTGATGGATGATCATTTGTTTGTATATTTAAAATAATCACATATCCAAAGAGCACCGATGCATGACTTAACTTAAGTTTTTTAAGGTTTACAATATGCACAGCGCACCAAGTCAGTGGAAAAAGGACCAAAAGTTTATGTGATTTGATCAAATAATTTCACATCTTCACTGTAGGAGGTTCAAGATTCAATTAAAAGCGTACATGAAAGCTGGAGCTGCTGAAAGTGCGCGGGTTCAGTTTTGCAGTTAGCAAAGTGTGTCAGTGAGTATGTTTTGCCTACTGTGGTGGAAAATGTGAATCTGCCGTAGGATGTTGTTATTTTTTTTGTGTGTTTTCTGTGCTGTTTTTTGTTTTTAAAACCGTCACAGTCACCTCCTCCAACACAGAGGATATCATTTATCATCATTACATGACACCTACTCGGTGTGCACCACAAGCAGATATTATCGATCATCAGTAAAATCCTAGATGTTACATTTAGAATCTGTCAGTAGAGTTAAACATTAACGAATGAAGATTAAACATTAAAGATCGTCATCTCTTATGCCCCAGATTATCTGTATTTTGTTTAAATATATTTTTTTATCTTACGCCAGAATATTTTGTAAAGATGTTTATGCAAATCCTTTAACTGCTGTCTTGGTATTGTATATTAAAATAATAATTCAGGGCTCAACAATAAGGACTGCCCGATGGCCCGGGGCCAGCGTGTGAGATGCTCGGGACAGTAGACAGGATTGTTACTGGCCCGATCGGGCCACTGCTTCTTGTTACTAAAGTTTAATTTGCCTGTGACTATTTGTCAATTGCGTGCAAATAAAGTTTTAGAATTGAGAAACAGTTCGTATTTTCAAACCTTTAAATGCTACCTTCTCGGTTCTTCTTATCTGATTGGATGTTGTGAGCACGTTATTAGTACAGTGAAGAGACAGCAACATGGCGATGACATCAAATGATGATGCTAAAGGAAAACATTTGTTTCTAACATCTTGGAAGCAGACATATACGAGGGTACACCACGACTAAAAAAAAATAAGTGATCTTTTGTACAGTTTGCCATCAGTTAGGCAGGTCTTTAGCCATGTTTTGTTTCGAAACACTTTGAATTTTGCTCATTACACATTTATTAAAAATTTTGAAATATTTAAATTCTATATGTACAAACATTTTGGCACATTTTTTTTATTTGTGGCTAAGAAATTAACTTTTTTTTGGTGGGGCCAGTGAAAATATTGGCAGGGCAAGTAAAAATCTGAACCACTGGTCAGATTGGGCCAGTAGAAAAAATCCTTAGCGTTGAACCCTGTAATTTGTCAAAAAGTTAAGTGAACTGCATTGCTTTCTTTTTTGGCAAGACACTTAATTTTAATCAATTCCCCCTTCCTTTAAACAGAGGGACAATGATGTGTTGCATTTTCTTAGTTTGTGAAAAAGTAAGACTCAATTTAAATAGTTCAGGGTTCAAGTTCACTGCCATGTGGCGTCCTTTCATAAATTATTTCCAAAGCCAAATGTAACTGTAAGTGGACAAAATGAGGCTGATGCTGTCAGGTTTTGCTTGTATTGTACTGATGTTGTCTTCGTTTGTTTGTTTTTTTGTCTTTGTTTATATGTACACAATGCTAAAGCACTATGTTTATATTTATGTTGTGCTGTTAGTCGTCAATTAATGAATGTATGTTTTTAGACTATTTAAAAAAATGTAAAAAAAATAAAATAATAATAATAATAATAAATAATAATAAAAAATCTCAATTTAAACCTCGCATCATGAATGATAAATGATAATGAGTTGCATGTTTATTATTTCTTCTAAGCGCTGCATTCACTTGTGCATTCGCTGTCACTAGACTTGAAACAGTTTAAAGGGATAGTCCACCCAGAAATTAACATTTACTTATACGGCTGCATGATATTGGAAAAATTTGACATTGCGTTTTTCTTTTTTTTTTTCTTTTTTTTTTCCTGCGCTTATGTATAACATTGAGATATAAATTCACCAGATGACTTAACTCTTTTAGATGACTTTAGATTGACTGGGATGATTTTATAGGGGAGTGAAATATAAATGTATTTTTATATGATTTATTATATACAGTCCTAAATAAACACAACGAAGCAAATATTGAAGTGAAATAAACAGTGATGTATGGTTTTCTGCGGAGAGTCTAACAATATTCGGTTACAAAAAAATGTAATAATCAGTTAAATGAACAATGCATAGCCTTCATCATGTAGATTGTTTAATAAAGGATTTTTTTGTGCTCTATTAAATGCTTTGAACTCTCTCTTCAAATGCTAACAGTCACAGGCCTTAAAAACACATGCGCATGATTAACTTCCACTCCATTGTGCTTAAATTCTTCAGAGTCTCCACAAATCTCATGTGTTTTGACCTGTGGTCATCTTTAAGCGCAATTTAACATTGTATATCTTGCCATAGGACTATTGTGTACACACATGTTGCGAGATCAATGCTCAAATGATATATTGTGCAGCCATATTTCCTTACTATTCACTCTCCTTCAAGTGGTTCCAAATGTTTATGAGTTTTTTTTCTTATGTTGAGCACAAAAGAAGATATTTCGAAGAATGTTGAAAGGTAGGAGAAACAATTGCTTTTGTGTTCAACAGAGAAACGCGCTCGTACAGGTTTGAAACGAGTAAAACTTCAGCAAATAATGACAGAATGTTTACAACTGGGTGAACTATATGTTATTAAAACCACATCATTATCACGTTAACACACAACCAACAACATACTGTAGAGTACTGCAACAACAGCAAAACATCAGCATACAAAGTGATACTCCTTGTGTTGAATGAGGAGTTGCAGATATTATTCAGAAGCAGCTTTGCACAGACTGCACAATTACACTAATGAAATGAAACTGCACTGTTTTTTTCAGTCTGTACTCATCAGATTATCAGTCATACAATGAGAGATGAATTAAATCTTACCTTCAGGTTGTGTTGTAGTAAACGTCTTGCACAGGATGAGAGATGGTGTTGTTTTGAAAGCTCATTTGCATATAGTATTTTGGGGTTCAGTCATACTTCCTTTTCATACATGTGACATGTGGAAACTCCAAACAATGCATGTGCTGTGAAGAGTGGTGTCACGGATCAGTTGAAAACACGCGTCACCCGCAGATTAGTACCTTTTTTGAACTTGTAAATTTATTTTACATTTATAACAATCGCAGAGATATCGCGTCCCGGGTCATTCAAATCACGTGTATGAAAGCATTTTGTTTTGCAAGTTTCTTGTTTAAACATTAAAAGATTGATCTCAATTCAAACCCGCTCAACATGAATAATTGATAATGATTTGCATATTTTTATTAATCCTTCGAAGTGCTGTATTCACATCTGCGTTTGATCTAGAGGAACTCGACGCTGGTGAATGTTGTAGCAATTACATTGTTTAACCAATGGGTGGCGACAAACAACCATTAAAGTTATGTCACTGAATAGGTTTTCAGAAATGATCCACCTATAATGAAACATGAAGTTTTGTGTGTGAATTGTTGAATCATTCATTGAAAATAAATATGGAATTGTGTTATGTATTTGTGTTTTTTGTGCTCTGTTTCTCTGTGTTTTTTCCCTCTCTCTCTTTCTCTCGCTCTCGCTCTGTTCTCCCGTATCTGCTCTCATGTATTCTCAGGTTCCGTTCATTGGTCCATTCAGCTGTCAGTCATTCCTCCCCGGTTACGTCACTCTTACGTCACATCCAATAAGCAAAGACCACCCGTGTTAAAAGCGCGCGCCAGACCACTTGCTCTCTCTTGCTTTCTTGCTAGCATTTTTCTCTTTCGCTGTTTTGTCGCTTGTTTGTATTTACCGCGTGCGTTTAGAAATTACCCTGTCTAACTGTGTATTTTGTTGTTGCTCGTTCTGTGTGCACGTTATCCGTCCGTTATTCGTACATTGTTCTTAGTTTATCGTTGTTTACGAGGCTTGGACGAAGCGGACAGGTAAGAAGGTCACGTGACATACATTTCGCAACACTCAGGACTACTCTGCTGTCTAGTACACTAGGTTAGGGGCGAGCACCACTCCTTGTACTTTTTGGATAGATAGATAGAGTAGATAGGACTCGGAAGATCTTCGTGTGTTAATTATACTGTTTTTCACATAGTTAGTTAGCTAGATGCTTCTGGGAAGTTAGATTTAGTTTGGGTTTTGTTCTTTTCATTTCTTTAGCGCCGCCCGCGTCCCTTCTGCCAGCTCTCTTGTTTTTCCCGTCTTTATTTGTCTTAGTGTTGTATATATTGTAAATAGTATATTTTTGCTTTACTTTTTCTTTTTTTTTGATTAATTCGTTGTTATTGTTCACTTTGGGATTGTAAATAAAAGCACATATTTTTTGGCATTACTTTGGTTGTCTTTCCACTCATTCACTGTTTATATAAATATATTTTAATTAAATAAATGTCAAACCCCACACCCTAGACTAACATCAGGGGTTTGTAACAAATTGTAACGAAGGGGCTGACACAGAGGGATCCATTTGCAGTATGTTTATTAAACACGGTTTAATAATAACAAGCACACAGATGTAATGCGTGTGTGAACTCACATCAAACACAGTTGTGTTAGGTCGAAGAGTTGGTGGCAGGTCAACGCAGGATGAGTATGCAGGCATGGGTCAGAGACAGGCGGCGAATATCAAGGTGGGTGTTCAGGCTAGAGTTCAGGGCAGGCGGCGTGGATCAGAGCAAGTATTCAGGCAGAAGTACAAGGCAGGCAGGACGAGGTCAATAATCAAGGCAGGGAAAGCAGGCAGTGTAGAGAAACGCTCAGTGGTGTTAGCCGGGGCAGAACAAGACTTCGCAATGAGAGAGTGTGTGTGTGTGCTGCTTATATGCGAGCGTGGGTGATCAACTCGATGAGCTGCAGGTGTGCATGCTATCAGTGTAAGTGGATGACGTAATGGTTAGAAGTCCGGTGATGATGACCTCTGCTGGCCAGCGAGGGGAATGACTGGGACCGAGTCGGTGACAGGAATGTTGTAAACCATATTAGATTTCTATATTTAGCATTATCAGCAATAGTAGCAAAGATCATTTTTTGTATTGAATATTTTCTTTTTTTCAGCTGTTCTTTCTTGATTTTTATTAAAATTACAAGTTGTAAGTTCTGTTTGTTAAACCAATGGTTTTTGCAGTAATATTTTTGAATAGAAAGCAAATGACATTTGTCTCCTTCCTTTTTTGCTGATCCAAAAATTGTCCGACCCATGACTCAAAAAAAACTGTAGTGTGATGCAAACCATGCGAATGTTGCATTCACACCAGACGCGGAACGCGCGTCAAGCGCGAGTGATTTACATGTTAAGTCAATGCAAACGCGCGAATAGACATCCTGCGGCTCGATACACGCGTATGGCGTGGCACGAATGACGCAAATTGCACGAATTAAGCGTTTTGCGCGTTTGACGCACTTAATGAGCGTTTCACGCGAATCTCCTGAATTCGAAAATTTGAACTTCAGCGGACATTCGCGCCGCGTTAACCAATCAGAAGCTTGCTCTTGTGGGGGCGTGATTGTGACGTGGAACCTGTTGTCGGTGTTCCGAGGGAAATCCTTCAGCCTTCACCGAAAACAGTTCATCAAACAGTTCATCAAGCTCAGTCAGAAGCACCGCTGAAAGCCTCCGTCATCCAGGTTCAGTTTCTGGAGGAGTTTATGAGCTCACAGAGCTGGATGCTCCTCTGAAAGGATGTAGTGGACTCAGACACGACCCTAAACGTATCGACGCTGTTTTTCAGTCTTCATAAAGCACATAAACACTGTTATTTTCTTCATAAAATCCATTTTAGCCATTTAGCTATGAAGCTAGAGTCTTCAGGCAGACAGAAGCCCTGTCCATCACGCGAATCCGCGTCTGTTCGGAAGTGAATTTGACGCGCAAATGAAGCTCAAATGTTCACGCGGCTATTTACGCGGGAATATCGAGATTTATCCGCGCGTTCCGCGTCTAGTGTGAACACAGCAAAACACCTTCATGTTAATATATATATATATATATATATATATATATATATATATATATATATATATATATATATATATATATATATTAAGCTTGTGCGGTAAAAGGGTATACCATGGGTTCTAAAAATAGCAACGGTGTCAGTTTCAATACAGTTATACCGTCATAAAAAAACAATGCACTTATATGAGACAAGTATTAAATATTAAATATTATTTATTTAATGCCTAAAAATGTGTATGCGTGATTGTTATCACGGGACAGTGTGGAGGAGAGAGAGAGAGGTGAGGTAAGATGGCGCACCAAGTGACCTGGTCTCGAAAAAGAACACAACCTCTGCAGTTTGGCAGTATTTCGGGTTTCGACCAAACGAGAAGGGAGATGTGGTAAATACGAACTAGAGGTCTGCATTCCCGCTGCTGTACCGTGTGTATGCAGACCTCTAGTTCGTATTTACCATGACCCGACCAGATTTCTTGCAGTGCGGGAGTAAATTTCCGAATAAAGCGCAGGAGTGGGTGGTCTAGCAATATCACTCTCGAGCGAGCGAGCACTCGCACTTTGCTGAATGCTGTTTGTGTGTGTGTGTGTGTGTGTGTGTGAGAGAGAAAACGTGATGTTGTGTGTCCCTTGTTTGGTGCTGTGACATCTTTTATTCATTCGTTATTCCAGCATTAATCCATTCATCATTCCCTTCCTCCTCCCATCCGAAAAATTTTTTACTCTGCCTTAAAACAGCAAACCAATTTTCATAAAAGAACAGAGCAGTAAAAAAAATTCAAATATGACAATTTTGAGTGTTTCGATTCTCCATGCATTACTGTGTTCACAGTTACTAGAAACACAGGTTGCTGTAAGGTGATGTAATCTAAGGTGCACCTGTATTACTTCACTCTTTCATTTTCATGAAGCAGGGAAGTTTAGGGAATATACAGCGCTGCGCTCAGACGATCAGCAGGTGTTATGAAACTAACATATTTCACCGTTCACCGAATACACTGATAAAATCACGCAGCAGCTGCTTCAAAACTTCTCATTTATTATAAACAGTCATTTGAGATCATTAGCAGTTAAAGTGATGACAGTCCAGTTCTGACAGCGACTAAACACCAAAGGAAATTCATGAAAAACACGTTCCCTCACAGCCACAGTTTCAGACAGGCAGAATGTGCTTAAGACCAACCAAAGTCCTCATATTTCAACATCATTTATCCATTCATAATAATAATAACAATGAAATGTCGAGTAAGTGGTTTCCAATTCATAATGAGGTTTATATTATTTACATAAAGATAACGAGCTTAAATTTGAAGTCATATAAAACAAGCTTTACAAAATAAATGTTTGTTCAACATTGTTACAAAATACTACTAATTGTCTTGTTGTAACAGTGATTTATTTATTTTTTTTTGACATATAGCTCAATTGGCATTATTTTTACTCTTAAAAAGGCTGGATAGTAGTGTAACCCAACATTGGGTAAAATATGGACCATGTCAGGTTAAATTTTAATTTGAAAAAAATAGTACAAAATTAACCCAACTTTGAGTTACGACAAACCAAGCATTTTACTGTGTATTATCATTGTTATTATTATTATTATTATTATTATTATTATTACTGACTCTTACATCCCAGGTTTTTCTGAATACGTTCCCCTATATACATTTCTGGAGAGCACCAAATACGTCCCAGGAGCTGTTTTTGTTTTCTCGAATCCACCAGAGGCCGATGTGTACTATTGTTTTGCTTCTTACACTTTACATACCTGAAACTTGCCTACAGCACTTATTCATTGTTGCTCTTATAGTTGTGTAAATTGCTTCCTTGTCCTCATTTGTAAGTCGCTTTGGATAAAAGCGTCTGCTAAATGACTAAATGTAAATGTACGCTTTTCCGGATCTCAAATTTCTCTCACGAGAGCCATTCCTGCCTGCTGTTCCCACCAGAGGCCGCTGTCGACTGACGTACAGACTAGGGTTGGGTGATGTCGACCAATTTGGCATCGTACGATGTCTAATGTGAAACATCGCGATGGACGGTGGCATAGTCGTCATGTGTAAAGGAGGTTGGAGGAGGTGTTCGACAGAGTGCACATGACGTGTCTAAAGAGCGAGGAGGGATCCGGTGGTGAGGGGTGAGAAGGGTGCACGACTTATTTGAGAACTGGGAGGCAGACGTGCGATTTCCAGGAGATTATCACTCGTTTGCGGGTATCCGGGAGTTTCTATGCATTTGCAGGAGACTCCCGGAACTTCCGGGAGACTTGGGTTGTCTAAACATCACGTTTAATAATTATAGTGAGACGCGATCCATCGGTATATCCTTGATAAACTGTCTGACGTGCACTGCTCTCTGAAGCTCAGAAGAGCGCATGACAGTGTGTGTGTGGTCACGTGATGTGTGTTTTCAGCGGATTGAGGGTTGTTCAGAAATGCTAGGTAAAACACGGTGTGGATGTGGATCATTTTCGTTCTAAAACGCCATTTTAATGCTAAGCTGTATTAGTGTAAACGGGGCCTAAGTGTGCAGGGTTCAACGATAAGGACATTTTCTACTGGCCCAACTTGACCAGCGGTTCAGATTTTTACTTGCTCTGCAAAAACTTTCACTGGCCCCAACAAAATAAATAAATAAATAAAAAATTGTTATTTCTTAACCAGATATTTTAAATATTGTGTCAAAAATAATGTCTGTCAATTTAGAATTTAAATATTTTAAAATTGTTAAAATATTTAGCAGTAAAATAGAGCAGTATGGTAAATGTGCCGGTATTTTATTGCAAAGCAAATGGTGGCTGACTTAAAAGTGACGGAAAGCTATGTAAAACATTGCTTCATTTTTTTCGTTGTGTTGTACCCATGTAAATATCTTTTTCCACAACGTTAGAAACAGACGTTTTCTTTTAGCCCCATAATTTGATGTTGCCGTCTCTTCACTAAACTGGTTTTTACCAGGTTGTGGAAAAAAATAACGCGCTCACAACAACCAATCAGATAAAAGGAACCAAAAAGCAATATGGTGTTCACAGAAAAGGTAGCTGTCAAAGACTTAAAAGCACAAATTGTTTTTCGATTCTAAGACCGTATTTGCGCACAACTGACAAATAGTCACAGGCAAATTAAAATTTGATGACCAGGCAGCACTCGCCTGATCGGACCAGTAACCAGGGGCGGACTGGGACTAAGAATCAGCCCTGACACTGTAGCCACACTAGCCCACATTACCTTACCCACACAGCCCCATCCACGGACACCCACATTCACTACGTATATTAGTATTATAAGCAGTACCGTATGTAATAGATATTTAAACATTCAATGTATTTGAGTGGAACAAAAACAACCCATTTATAACAAATTTATACATGCAATAATTTAATTCATTCATTTTCTTTTCGGCTTAGTCCCTTTATTAATCTGGAATTGCCACAGCGGAATGAACCGCCAACTATTCCAGCATATGTTTTAGTGTTTATGTGTTGCTCTTAAGGTTTATTTAACATTCTTGCCAGATTTTGATTAAGTCCATGTAACCTCTGATTGGGTCGGTCCCTTTCGAAACCAGCCGGCCATTGCCGATTGGGCCAATGCTTAACATTTATTACTATTATTACTATCATCATCATCATCATCACACTCACATCTTGCAAGAGATAAAAGCTGCCTGCGTGTAAAAACAATACATTTAAAAAAATAAAATAAAAAATAGCATACCTGCCCACATTTAAAAAATGGTCCGGCCCTTTTGGCATTTGCCAGATGGCCAGTCGCCCCTGCCAGTAACGATTTTCTCTACTGTCCTGAACATCTCTCCCGCTGGCCCCGGGCCATCGGGCAGTCCTTATTGTTGAGCCCTGGTGTGTATTTTTCACGAGCGGGTTAGCAACGGGGGCGAAGGATCGGCAATGCCAGCTAAGCATCGTGTTGTCTATTAGCCATTTTACCACATTCTCACCCTGTTTTTTACCCTGTTAATTTTTTTGTTTTTTCTTTTACCCGCTTTCTAGAACCATTCTTTGCCGGACTCGACTCAACGTACGCAGCGACGTATGCAGCGAGCCACTGGAAAAACTGGTAACAGCAGAAAAGCCGTCCACACAGAGGTAAGTGCAAAAGGAATGGCATCATACACCGCCCCCTAGTGTTCGTTTTAAAGATGAAATGCAGCCATACATTCCTCTGGCTACATAATTCATGATCTCCAGAAATGTATATAGGGGTACGTTTTCAGAATGAGCCTATGTTGGACTCATAGGCGCTTTGACTATAATTCAAAATACACACTTTCTCTTTTCATCATCATCATCATCACATATTAAGAGCATGTACAGTTAAGTTGGACCGCAAAATAATATCAAAAATAAACCTTCCTCCTCAAGTTAAAGTGCTTTTAGTATTGTTAACAAACATCGTTATGTTTATTCCAGTGACAAAAGATCAACTATAGGGAAAAAAGACCTACACGTTTACCCAAAATAGCTCTATACTGGCACTGTTAGACATGAAGGTAGACACAAAAATCTCGATGGATTCCAATGCAGTCTCTCAATAAAACACGCAAGTTATTCACTCTATCCTGCTCTAGCATCGACTACAGTACAGTGGCTTAAATAATATGATTCTGTAAAACCCTCCAGTTCATCCATAATCCTTTTGCAGAAAAAAAAATAGATGGATATCCGCGTGTCTTTGAAATCAGGTTTTGTCCATCAGAGTTGACAGAGTAGTTGTTTCTCAGATCTGTGGCACTGCTTTTGCTTGGCCACAAGGTGGCGGTGAATGAATCCATTATTCCCAGTGAGCAGGTCCATCATACCAGCGCTGTGTTTGTCATGTATAAAGCAGCAGATCTACGTTGGATCATTCTTTTGATTTCCCCATGGTCTAAATAGTTTAGTAGCTTACAGTAATTCTCCTTTATGCTCTCCTGACTGTGTTCGGAGTGGTAGGCTAGCATGCTTTGCCAGTGTGCTAAATGTTAGGTTAGTATTACAGTTTCATTTCAATCCAGTGAATTATTAGCTTTAAAATAGGCAGTTTAATTGTAGCTTTGACAGCTTGTGGAATGTCTGGAAATTGGGTTTATCAGCTGTTTGAATGCACTGTAAGAAGCTTTTAATCGAATATTAAACCGTGGCTGATATTATAGTCAGTCCTGAAATGTAATATCGAATGCTTTGCTCTACACTTCTGTACTACTCTTGGAAAAACATGCCTGTACACATTCTTTGCAAAATAACACTTGATTACTCTTTAAAAAATCTTCAGTGAGTTGTTATAAATACACTTTTAGTTGTATGTGCCACCCCAATCTTGCATCGACTTCCACATTCGCCAGTTAGTGGCTCCAAAAGTTTAATTCCGTACATCAAAAGCAGCAAATCAAATGTAAGATAATATATATTTGCAAAATCAGCCATGTTATTTTTAAGATTCTCGTAACTTTTATCATGATTTTATCAAGTGTAGTATAGTTGTTGCATATGTTTTGCCGTAATCTCATTCAGTGTTGTTTATATACAGTGCTCCTCATATGAGTACACCCCTCACAAATCTCTCATTTAAAATGAATATTTTCAATAGGAAGCTTTACAATATTATATTTGTGCACAGGGGGGTGACCTGGTGGCTAGAGCCACTGCCCCTCTGCCCTTATTGGCCGAGGTGTCCCTCTCAGGAGGCACTTGCTCTTCACTTTGCGATGGCGTTGAGCACCTGCCCCTGTAAGGGTCTGTGCACGGGCCAGTTTGGACATATGCATTCGATTAGTCTGTGTCGAAGACAAAATCTGTACGCTAAAATGTAAAATGAAAAACAAAAATCTAAATTCAACAAAATAAAATCATCAAATTTTGTTGAAGTTTTGTAGTTTGTATTTTTTTCTGATATCTTGCATGCATTTAATTGTATTATCTTTCTGTTTTGTAAAGATGTTCAGCAACTACAATATTATTGTAATAAATATATCTGTTTAATAAATTTGTTTTTTTTCAAATGTACCAAAAATATCTGTCCTGTATTTACTGAGAAATGGATAAAAATATTCATTTTCCAAAAGGGGTGTACTCCATTATGCTGAGCACTGTATAGAGTTGAAGTCAGAATTATTAGCCCCCCTGAATTATTAGCCCGCCTGTTTATTTTTTTCCTCAATTTCTGTTTAATGGAGGGAAGATTGTTTCAGCACATTTCTAAGCATAATAGTTTTAAAAACCTATTTCTAATAATAATTTTATTAATAATAATAATATTTTTCAAGACACTTCTATACAGCTTAAAGTGACATTTAAAGGCTTAACTACGTTAATAAGGTGAACTAGGCAGGTTAGGGTAATTAGGCAAGTCATTATATTTTGATGGTTTGTTCTGTAGACTATTGAAAAAAAATAGCTTAAAGGGGCTAATAATTTTGCCCTAAAAATAGTTTTTAAAAAATTCAAAACTGCTTTTATTCTAGCCGAAATAAAACTAGTACGACTTTTTCTAGAAGAAAAAATATTATCAGACATACTGTGAAAATTTCCTTGCTCTCTTAAACACCATTTGGGAAATATTTAAAAAAGAAAACAAAAAATCAAAAGGGGGCTAATAATTCTGACTTCAACTGTATACAGTTCATTAACTTTTTACATAAATGAATGGAAAAGTCAAAATACATTTTCTTTTCAGCGTAGTTCCTATAAATATCTGAGGCTGCCACAACGGAATGAACCGGCAACTTATCCAGCATATGTTTTACGCAGCGGATGCCCTTTCAGCCACAACCCATCACTGGGAAACACCCATACACTACCATTCACACACATCCACTATGGACAATTTAGCTTACCTAATTCATATAACGCATAGCGCATGTGTTTAGACTTTGGGGGGGGGACCGGAGCGTCCGGCGGGAAACTTACGCCAACACAGGGAGAACATGCAAACTCTGATCCAGCCGAGCCTCGAACCAGTGACCTTCTTGCTGTGAGGCTTATTTTGACTTTTATTTTACAAAATTATTTGTAACATCAAAGAATATTTACTGCACACTTGCTTTAAATATGCCTTCCATCTATATAAAAATACTTTTGTACATATTTTTACTTAAAAGTGGACACCAAAATGGAAAACCTCCTCTTTCGCCCCCGTGTAGCCATTATAAAACACTTGAAACTTAGAAAGTTTCTATGGATTCACTGGAATAATTAACTATGGATCTGAGTAAAATGTTAATATTTGTCCAATTCTATAAAGGTCTGATATCATTTCTAGCATTCATTCTTTTAATTTCTTGTCAGCTTAGTCCCTTTATTAATCCGGGGTCGCCACAGCAGAATGAACTGCCAACTAATCCATCATATTTTTACACAGCAGAACATGCAAACTCCACACAGAAACACCAACTGACCAGACCGAGACTCAAACCTGCGACACTGCGACCTTCTTGCTGTGAGGCGACAGCACTACCTACTGCGCCACTGCGTCGCCATCATTTCTAGCATATTTCAGATTATTTTTTAATTTATTTGTTACACTTTTGGAAAATGATAGTTGGTCAGAAAAGCGGAAGTTTTTATTTGCAGTGATTTAAAAGGTTAAGGTCAAGGTAATTTCACTACATATTGTATTTTTTGAAATCTTCTGAAAAATTGCTACTGTTTTACTTCGGAATGGATGTAAACATGTCTGAAAATGTGTCTTTTTTTAAATCAGAAAATGTGGTAATGTCGGCCAAAGTATTGTCATCAGTAGTATTCAGCATAATGTTTTACTCAAGCACAAAACCTTAAATCATAAATCCACAGAAACTCTTAATTTTCAAGGCATCTCTGTATATGTTTCATTTTTATTTTGCCATATGTATGTTTTATTTTAGTGTTAGCAGGAAAAAAATGTAGGTAAAGGCATATTTTTCTGACTATTTTGCTATATCTGATTATCTGTGCGTCTTGTTCACCCAAAACCTGCACAGGTACACACACGCACGCACCACATACTGCAGAAACATCAAGGAAAGTAAGCTAGTGCACTAATCCGAACACAGCCGCTCTATCTCTTCCTCTTCTCCATTTCATGCCTGTTCGCCAGTGTATTTCAGCGCTAGCCAACTCTGCTGGCACGCTACCTCGTAACACAGGTAAGCTCAGTGGCATCAAAAAAGAAAAAAAGTTGGCTAACGCTGAATCGACTCAAGCAATTTATCTCCATCAGAGCCCCAGGTTATTTATTTCTCTACACGTTACTGATGCGTACGCTAAGCTGATCTCGGACACGGCCTCTGTCCCGCCCCCTTTCCTCCCGGTAGCTCTCCTCCAATCGCATCTTCTCAGTATCTGCCCCTTTTTCTCCGCTGCCTTGATGCTGTGGTGTTTGTGTATGGGAGGGAGGGGCTTGTTTGAAAAGGGGCGGAGTCTTGGTCTTGGCAACCTTGTCGAAGAAAGCGAAATCGGCGACGTACTTTCCAGAGGGTGAGAGAGAGACGACGGGTGGAAACTCGTAGCCCCACAGGATCTCGTCCGGCAGGTATGAGGTGCGCACCTGACATGTGGCCGAGGTCGGTTCAACTGTAGCACTCATGATCACCAGCAGCTCAAAGTCAGCCAGTTCAGGATCCGTCCACCCGCCACCTTAAACAGACAAAGGGAGAGAAAAATATGTGGTCAATCAGATATTAGAGAGTCTAATTTCTAACACCAGCTTTTACACCAATTTAAAAACGGTTTCTCTCCCCTCTAGTAAGTTAGTAAAGTGTATTTATATAGTGTGTTTATACACCCAAAGCACTTTACAGTCATGAGTGGGGGTTCTCCAACTACCAACAGTGTGCAGCATCCACTTGGAAGATGTGATAGCAGCCAAAGGACAACGCCACCAATGCACCCGCCACACACCCTATAGGAGGAGTGGAGAAACAGTGATAGAGCCAATGGAGTGAATTTGGCCAGGACACGGGGGTTACACCCCTACTATTTCCCAGAAGTGCCATGGGATTTTATTTGACCACAAAGAGTCAGGACCTTGGATTAACCTCCCATCCAAAAACACAGCGCTCACTGATAGTATAAGAGTCCCCTTCAGTTTACTGGGGAATTAGGACTAGCAGGTATTCGATCGCAGGTTGAGCGCCCCCTGCTGGCATAACTAACACCACTTCCAACAGCAACCTAGTTTTCCCAAGTGGTCTCCCATACAGGTACTGACCAGGCTCAGCCCTGCTTAGCTTCAGTGAGTAACTGGTTTTGGACTGCAGAGTGATATGGCTGTGGCCTCTATTTCAGATGTGGTATAGAAGAAGGTACTTTGTCCCATATTACATGGCTGTGCCCTAAAGTCAAAGTGTTGTGGGTACGAGTATGCAGGATCATATCACAGATTAAAGGAATTGATTTTCCATTGGATCCTGATTCCTGAGATATGTTTATTGGGCAATAACACACATTCTAACCTCCACCGTAATCATGCTATAAAGATTACTGAAAAGTTGTTGACTATGGACCCCTTTCACAAAACTGTAATCCCAAAAGTTTTTAACATTCAGATTTTTTTTTAAACATAAGTATTTATGTGTGCATTATATCATCTTTGCATGAACTTCAAAATACATTACTGCTTGTGCGAGGCATTTGTAATGCAGCGTCTATGGGGTAGGGCAGTAAATCTGATGTTGTTTTCTCTTCTAGTTGTCGTTATCGGTCTAACTATTTTTTCCATTTTCTGAAAGTCTTGATAACTCCATCGTGGAGTATTTATTTTATTTTAATAAATGAGATCGTAAAAAAAATATGTTTACTCTCCCATTCACCGCTTTTAAAGTTTACCAACTATGACGACTTCTGCTGCTGAGAAACCTGGAAATGTGAAAAGGGTCCATTGCCTATCTGTGTGGGATTTAGAACTGCTCTCCACCCAGTGGTCCAACAAAGAATTACAATCCAAAAGAATACAAAAACAAACAAAGAGAATCGATGAATGAATGAACAGATAGACAGAGTTGGATGGATGGATGAACAGATGGACAAAGATAATTGGATGGATGGATGAACAGATAGACAAAGATAATTGGATGGATGGATGAACAGATAGACAGTATTGGATGGATGGATGAACAGATGGACAAAGATAATTGGATGGATGGATGAACAGATAGGCAGAATTGGATGGTTGGATGAACAGAGTGTTTGATGGATGCAAAGATGGATGAATAGACAAAGAGAAATGGGTGGATGGATGGACGAACAAATAGACAAATATAATTGGACAGATGGATGAACAGATAGACAAAAAGAACTGGATGGATGGATGGATGAACAGAGATAGACCAAAATAATTAAATAGATGGATGAACAGAGACAAAGACTTGGATGGATAGATGTACAGATAGACGAAGAATTAGATTAATGGATGAACATATAGGCAGAATTGGATGGATAGATGAACAGTATTTGATAGATGAATAGACAGTAATAGATTGGGTGGATGGATGATGGATGAACAGAGACAAAGACTTGGATGCATGGATGAACTGATAAAGATAATTGGATGGATGGATGGATGAACAGACAGACAGTTTTGGATGAATGAGTGAATATAGACTAGGAATTAGATGGATAGCTGAACAGATAGACAACATAACAAATGTATGAACACAAAGACTGAGTATTAGATGGATGGATGAACAAATAGGCAGAATTGGATGGATGGATGGATGGATGGATGAACAGATAGACAGAGAATTGGATGAATGAACAGATAGAGGAAATTGGATGGATGAACAGATAGAATATTTGATGGATGGATGGATGGATGGATGAATGGATAAACAAATAGACAAATATAATTGGATGGATAAATCACCAGATAGACAAAGAGAATTGGATGGATGGATAAACTGATAAACATTATTGGATGGATTAATGAACATAGAATAAGAACTGGATGGATAGATGAACAGATAGACAAAGAATTTGATGGATGGATGGACAGATTAGACAAATATAATTGGGTGAATAGATGGGGAAACAAATAGACAAAGATAATACACTGCAAAAAATGCTTTTCTTGCTTAGATTTTTTGTCTTGTTTCTAGTCTAAATATCTGAAATTTCTTATATCAGGAAGCATTTTCTAAACAAGCAAAACATACTGTCTTGTTTTGAGAAATAATATGCCAATATTAAGTGAGTTTTTCCTTAAAACAAGCAAAATAATCTGCCAATGGAGTAAGCAAAATGGTCTTGTTTTTTCTTTTGACGTAAGATTATTTTGCTTACCCCATTGGCAGATTATTTTGCTTGTTTTAAGGAAAAACTCACTTAATATTGGCATATTATTTCTCAAAACAAGACAGTATGTTTTGCTTGTCTAGAAAACTCTTCTTGATTTAGGAATTTTTTGATATTTGGACTAGAAACAAGACAAAAAATCTAAGTAAGAAAAGCATTTTTTGCAGTGTAGGATATATGGATGAATAACCAGATAGACTGAGAATTGGATGGATAGATGAACAGATAGACAGAGTATTGGACGGATGGATTTATAGATGGATAGGAGGTCGGATACATGTATAGATGCAAGGGTAGATGGTCGGAATGGTTGATGGATTAAAGGATTTACAAGCAGATATAATTTTATGGTTGACTTATCAAAAATGATTTCTTATAAAGGCAGGAACTTGTAGCCACAAAATGATGGTTTTAACGTTATCAATTAGCCATGATGACAAAAACACTTTCAGCAAATACTGTTCAGATATCGTCACAAGAAAAACAATCCCCCAAAATATCACGATATTCCCAATGAGCAGCAGTGAATGCTCTGTACTGTTAGTCTGCCATTTTAACTACAGGTTTATGGGTCTCATTTTTGAGGCTGACCATCCATTTTTATTTACATTTAATTTAAACCTGGATGTTTTTCCCTCTCTGACAGTCAAATGAGTTTTAAAACATCATAAACACAAGTTCAATAATCTCAGCGCGTTTAATTTGGGTCCGTTATTTCTTCTATTAACAACAGTAAGAACAAAGAAATCCACAAAATACTCAACACACAAAACCCCATACACTACAACAACAGCATGTACAACACTTTCCATCACAACATTTAGTTGAACACTTGTCAGACAGAACAAGGCAAAGGACGAAACTTCACTTCATGCGGCTGTATGCAAGTATAAAACTTATACCAGCAGAAATACTAATGCCTTCACTCGTAAACATGCCATTCACCCACTGACACACACACACACACCTGCATCAACATCCCACATTCAGAGCGAGAGACGGTCATCTGTGAAAACAGTCTGTCTTTTAACCCAGAGCCAGTTCTGCATTCTGGGAGCAAAACACATGGGTTTCATAATCCACAAAACACACAAGATCACTTCATCAAGCTCACTAAATGTCAGACATCGATACACTGATGTGACCAATGAAGTGAATGTAGAATAATATTGATTGAAGTATAATTAGGTATTCATTTTACATAAACACAGCACAAGCTTATATTTCAAATAGCTAAAGCTGTATTGTTATTGCAGTAGCAATGAATGGCAAACTGTGTGAGATTATCTTGCGCATTTTCTAATCCATTAATTCAAAGCATCCTGCCTAATAAATGCAAACACACAGACATGCTCATTTGTGAGTGTATAGAGATGTTCTGGTGTCGTTCACACATGCTGATCATTGCTGGAAAGACCCTCAGGGGACGTCGCTGTGTTTACTAGCAGGCATGTTGATCACGGATCTGATGTGGACTCTGACTGTGTCTTCAAACCGTTTGAGGAGAAAAGACATATGTAGGTCATTTTACTGAAAAAAGAGACCAACGATCCAAGTATTGTAACTAATAACATTTAGGTGACACAATATATCATTTCAGCATCAATATTGCAATGTGCGAATCAATGACTGTAAAAAATATGGACGACGCAACAGCCCCTTTTCCCATTGAACGCCTTGAGGGCAAAACGCCTGATTGATGGGCACAAACTGTCGCAAAAGACTGCTGAAATTGGAGCCTTGACATGCGCAGAAGGACTGTCTGATGGAGCCAGAGGAGGAGCCGCGAAAATGAGCGCAGTCGAGCTTCCAACCAAACGCTTTATTGTAAAATCAACCACGCCCCCCGAACTTCTCAGCATGCGTTTGCTGTCATATCAACACAAATGGATGTAATAACGTTAACAAATATGAGGGTTTTATATATTTAATCGCGCCAGCTCCGGACCGCAGCGCATAACCTACTCACGGCGTCGCGGGCTGATTCCGGCTCGCATGCGGCAGCGCCGGCTCGCTCGGCCGCCGCATCTGGCTCGATTGACTCGGGCTGAAATCGGGCAGTGAGTCCAGGCATCCGGAGTAGGTCCAGCAGAGGTAGTCAGTCTGAGCTCTGAGGGGTAAGTCTCCGGCAGGCTAGAATCTAGCTGAAACTGGCCCGAGTGTGTTTTGCTATCTGGGTGGTTAGGCGTGTATCAGCAAACTAATAAAGCCCGAAAAAAGCCCTGACCTTAGTGAGTAAACAGTGTTCCACCAGATCATGTATGTCAGAAACTGTAGTTTACTGCTGAACTCATTTTGTCATGGTCAAATAACACAGGAATCGAAAAATAACACTTCAGTCTTCT